GTAGCAGACAAATCATAATGAATCATGGATATTAGGCAAGATATTAGATTTAATACACTTTTTGTAGAAAACATAGGATTAAGTGACATGTGACACTTGACAAATCAACCCACACTGTATTGCCATGACTCCTGAGTATGTATGATAAGTTATGAAAGTGAAACAATATGTTGGTTGCGATACTGGTCCCACAAAGAGGATATAAATAAGATGCTATTTATAATCTATCACATAAGCCTATCACATCATGATTAGTTTTACTGCTTCAATAATTCGTCGCTGTTTTCACGAAGTGACGGTAGTGAAAAAAAATTGCATTCACTTTGCGTGACAATTTTCCTAACTACCGTCACTTCGTGAAAACAAGGACGAATTGTTGAGCTATTTCCTTATTCCATATGCCACTATCAGCATTTAAAATAATTACTTATCACTTATAGGGACATGATGTTAAAATTAGTGTAAAGTATCTTCATCTTAATAGTCATTCCAACCACCCCCCCCCCCCTCCTTTGAGCATAGGAAACATACAATATATTAGCACAAGAAGGTAATAGTTATTTTCTACAATACATCCTTGATCATTTGCCTAAACCATTTTACAATATAGATGTGCAATGCTATTCATACCACAGGGCTACAAGTAAAATATCTGAAATGGTACCTTTTATCTGAACTAGCAAGTACAGTGGATATATTTGGGTTGAATAAACTGTATTGTTTATATGATGAATATGTCATGCACGGCGGACGTTTGTTTTGACGCTGTACAATGCCAACATACAGTGTATTGCCCCAGTGAAGTCACTTGATAATATCGTTCATAAATAATGAGAGCCGCTCACCGTACCGTATTGGGCCGCTAATAACTCATCCCTTCGGCTTGATATTTCTATCATTTCGTCAGTGTGTGTACATATCATTGTAAGGTTTATTATTAATAATCATTTGTAATTTATTTCTTCAAACTGGACATTGTTTATATACATTATAAATGTATCACTACATTATTTGCAGTGAAAGGTAGTGTATCCCTTTTGCAGCCAACATCAATTTCTGTAGAGCTTTGTAGGAATTGATTAGAGATCAGTCTCTAGCTCTCAGGCAACAATAAAGGTGTATGTCAAACAAATTGATTGAGAGATATAGAAACCCCCTTGCCATGTCTGTGTATACTTTATCTCATTGCTTAGTGATTGAAAGTGAAATTAGACAATCACTTTTTCATAGAAACAGAAAATGGATGGATTTGTTTTAGATGCATGATACACATGATGTCCTCATTATGTTTGATATATATGCTCTGAAGTACTAATGAAAGGAAATTGGAATAATAAGATTAATGATATTATAGATTAAGGGCAATAATGAGATGATTAGGAAGAGAGACTAAGACTATTAGTTAGAGTTAGAAACAGTGGGAGGAGTAGAGACAGATAGAAAGAGGAGAGAGGGGGAGGAGATAGAGAGAGGCATAAAGCAAGACACAGAGATGTGGATAGGCCTCAGTACAATTTGCAAGAGAAATATACGTTCAGACGGCAGAAAGGAAGAGAGAGAGAGGGAGGGAGAGAGAGAGAGAGAGAGAGAGAGAGGGAAGCCAGAGAAAGAAAAGAAAGGAAGGACAGATATATTAGCCTATAGATAGCAGAAAAAGAAAAGATTTAGACGCATAGAAAAGGGGAAGACATAAAGAGACAGAAAGTGAAAGACAGAGATACACTTACAAGTATTTATAGACATAGAGATAGTGAGAAAGGGGAAAGACAGGCAGACAGAAATAGGGAAAACAGAGAGAGGGATAGAGAGAGAAAGAATGAAAGAAAGGAAGAAAGAATGAGAAAAAGAAAGAAAGAATGAGAGAAAAAAAAGAAAGAAAGAAAGAAAGAAAGAAAGAAAGAATGAGAGAAAGAGAGAGAGATGCATAGGAGATACTGTCGTCTTGATGAATACCCAAGTACAATGTATTCACACCTGACCATTCTTCCTCTGTCATATCACCCTTGTCGTCTCATTGACGCTCTTATACACCAACCACTGACATGTTATTCAGTCATAGCCTTGAGAAATTGGATAGGGCTCATTATAGACTCAACTTGAATATGAACCAGTCATTTGGAACATTGGGCCATACATCCAGCAAGCAAGCTGATGAGAAACCCATATACCCGCTGCTAACGTAGCTCCATGTGATGTCCATACTTACAGCTGTTTTCATTCTTACATCAAGGTGTTTTCTTGGCAGCCGTAGAACTCTGGAACTCCCTCCCTTTAATCACGGCTACTTAAAGGTGCCAATTTAGCAGTTTGGGAACATATGTTTAGCATTACTAATTGGACTATTTTATTCAGCTGGTGAGGATGACTGGTGGAGTGTAGTGCATGAACTTGGAGTATAGGCTTAACCCTTTTCTGGATAGCTTTTCAAGTACTTGTATGTATATACCAAAGGAGGGGTATCTGGCTGCGGTGGGGTATTGTCATTGGCTCGGTAAATATAGGTGGTATTGACTATGTCAGTGTAGGACAGCTAGCACTGAAGTTTAAGTGGGAAAGGAGATTAAACGAATGGAGCCAACCTAGCAGCATCAGTGACACGATTGGAGATATTATACCCAGAAGGAGTGTATGGAATACAAACATAGCAAGCATATACCAGTGGGAATACATGGAATATATGGAATATACTCAGACCAAGGATGTATTATAGGCTGAGGTATGTCAGTTTTGTTACATGGTAAATACAATTTTTCTTGTGAGGACTACTGTTCGATTAAAATTTGTGATTTAGAGATTTTAATCCAATTCAAATTTTGATTATTATTTTTTAAGGGTGGGTTTTTCCTTCTTTTCTTGTACAATGGTTTATTGCAGAGCTAAGGGGCAAATAGTCATCAGTCTTTGTCTATCTCTCTCTACCCCCCCCCCTCTTTCTCTCTCTCCCCTCTTTATCTCTCCCCCCCCCCCTCCCTCCCCCTCCCCCCTCTCTCTCTCTCTCTCTCTCTCTCTCTCTTCCACTTTCTCTTCAGTGAAAGGTGTTGGTGTTGTAAAACCTTGTTTGGGCATGACTTTGTTTCCTGACATATTAGGCTCCAAACATTGCAGGGAATCACTTCCTTGTAATTTCTTACACAGGAAGAAGTATAGCGTAATGAAGTACCATTTATCTAGTATCTACATGCATCACTGTACCATTTCTTTGATATCTTGAAAAATATGTCAAATTGGCCAATATTGTAAAATGATTTCATCACCTAGAGTTTGATTCAAAACTCAAACATATGTATATTTTCTTTCCTTAGATTTTGAACTAATCGAGAAAGATTTATTTTATAACAATACCATAATAATGATATTATTCTATTTTGCGGTGTTTTTATTGAATTGAGAAGTTATATAGATTTGTGTATGTTTTACAGTATGTGTTGACATTTTTCATAAAACCAGTTCAAATCAATACCATGATTTGAACAAGGTGGGCGGAAATCAATACCTTTTACACATACAACCAAACACATGGGAAATCATCAATCAATTCACATTGTAAATTTGATAGGAGTTCTTTATTCCATATTCAAATATAGTTTTGATGTGATATTTCAGGACAGGAATTTGATAATGCTGATTGTGATGATGAGTCAAATGAAGAAACTAATGGGGAAAGAGGGAAGAGATGGAGAAAAGAAAGATGAACACAGGAGAAGAGAGGTCTGGGAGAGAGCGGGTGGTCAGAAGGAATGGAGAGATGGGAAAGAGAGGAATGAGATGAGAGAGAGAGAGAGAGAGAGAGAGAGGGGGGTAGGAGTGGAGGAGGGAATAAGAGGGTGAGGGGAGGAAGGAGAAGGAAAGGAGAGAAGCGTTGAAATTGGCAGCCTAGCATAACCGGGTAATGTTGGAGCGCCTTGAGGACCTTGCAAGGTCGATATGTGCGCTATATAAGAATCCAATATTATATTATTTTATTTATAGAGATTTCAATTTTTTCAAATTTTGTTGTATTTTTTTCCCCCTAGGTTTTATGAAATAAGTAGTGTACAAAATTATAGTACATATTCCTGATTTTATTGTTTTGTCCAATTGTGAACGCGTGTGAATACATGTGCCTGTTTTTAAAAATATGAACTATTATATATAACTATATATACCATTTGGTCATATTCTACCTCATGATATGAGATAGTGTTTATCACAGATTCAAGATTGAACTCTGTCAATGAATTGGTGTGCGGCAATCATTCTAGGGAAATACTAGTTATCATGCTCCTTATTTAACGAGGCATTTCCCCCCAACAATGGATTATTTTTAGTTGGTACTTTGTCTAATGATCTGTGATGTTTGTTATGATCAAGGTATGTGTAGTATAGTACCATGTACTGTAAAGGTTTCATGCAATAACAAGATTTGTATGAATCATGTACACATGGGGGTTTACTGTTAAGTTATACTGTACATAATCATCAAAGTGTTTGAGGTCTGGAATTAATTGATCCCATTTTCATTGAATGATACCTGTCTGTTTTATTGTGTTTTTTCCTGCAACAGTGGTAGGTTAATTCAATATAAAATTTCTTCAAACATGATCACAAAAACTGCAAGAACCCAACCTCAGGCAATTTGAATGGCATTGTCATCACCTTTTTAAATGTGTGGACACTACAATGACATATTACATAATCAGAACATAATTTCTAAAAGCAATGCAAAAGGATATTGACTCAGTCATTTATTTTGTTTTCAATTATATTGTGCTTGGAAGGAGAATGATGATCAGTATTAAAGATGCAGGTGTTTTTTCATGCATTTATTTGTGTAAATTTGATGAAATAAATAGACTAATGTCTAATGTTTAATTGTTTCAATTCTTCTTACATTTTGCTTAGGTAAGCAAAGTTTGGAAACTGGAAATCTTACAATTATCTTTACAGAGATTTGAGAATATCAACCACTTTTCCTTATGTTATATCAAAAGTTCATCTCACCATTCTTGTTCTCTTCTTAGGTGCTAGAAGAGGGTATTGCCACACACCAGGCTATGGTAGCATCTCTCAACTCCAACGGAGAGGACATTGTGGCTCAGTCTTCCTCTGTGGATGGGGGTATGCTACAGGAGAAATTAGAGGGACTCAACGCTCGCTGGAAAAGCGTCTGCGCTGAAGTTGCATCTTGGAAAGATAGGTCAGTAGAAAGAGGTTCAGTGGTTAGAGAGATGGTGTAAAAGTGAGGAGGTCTTAGGTTCAAATTTCACTGAAGTAGATTATAGATGCTTTGGAAGAAGAGTGGGAAATAAGGGTTTAGTGATCTACCGGTAATGATAGAACTGGGAAATATTGGTTCAAATCCTGAAATGTCTGTATTAACATGTAAGTTGCTTCTTCAGGAAATATAGGCAAAGGTTAATGGTTCTGTCTTGAGAATGGTGATTAAACTTTATCACTGAATCAAACTTTATGATTCCTAGATGAAGATATCAACAAAATCATTAATTTAGGAAAAGTTGTGTTTTTTCTGAGAGTAGTTGAAAACCTATTTAAAAAAAACAGCAGTTTAAAACTAGGTCTAAGAACAAAGTGTGGATTGCATACAGAGCCTTCGACCAGCTACCGGCCAGCTACCATGGAAGAGTTTCTGTACCTCGTATGTTAACATTACCAGTGTGATGGCTCAGTCAGTAGAGCGACCGCCTCACAACCGGGAGGTCGTGGGTTCGAACCCCGGCCGCGTCATACCACGAGACGTTAAAAGACAGGAGTTGCTGCTACCTTGTTTGGCGACCAACAATAGGGATAGAGCAACGTCGATCTGGCGCTGCTCAGTGGCCGCCGGGCTCACGATCAATTGAGCAAAAAGAATTTCCATTTTCGGTTTAATAAAATTTAGAGTGGACTTTAAAATGATTATTATTATCATTATTATTATCTGCTCCATGTACAAGCACACACAGAAAGATAAAGTGATCCAAGTCTGACACAATACTTGGGCCAATCCCTAAGAAACATAAGGCAAGTCCATGTAAAGATTTCAAGATTATAAGTCTTGTGAGTCATGTAACCAAGTTGCCATTGAAGATCATAATAAATAAAATAAAATAAAAGATTAAACTGACAAATTAGTAGGTCAGGAAGATTTTGGTTTCAGACCTCAAAGTGGTACGAGGGAAGCCATATCATATCATATCACATCACAGTTTTTAGTAAAACATGATTTATATTTATATTTATTGATAACGTGTTTGACAAAATTTGTCATGAAAAGTGGTTGAAATATTACAAAAGATAAATGTTGACGATAAGAACTTCATTCTCATCTTCAAGCTGTACTGGGAGCAGATGCTATCCAATCATGATATATGATACTTTACAGAAATCAAAGGAGGATTATATCAAGTGTGTGTAATGTCCCCAACTTTGTCTATCTGTGCACAGAGTTGATACCAGGGAATTTAAAGATATACAGTGTGTAAGTGTTAGAAGTGTAAACATTAACATTGTGTCCTATGCTAAAGTGTATACCTTGTTCCATTAATGTTTGCAGGTTTGAGTTCAGTCCAGAGAAAGTGGAGGCCTTCATGGAGGAGTGTTCTCATCTGCAGCAATGGCTGTCAGAGTGCCAGGCCTTGATAAGACCCCAAGCCCAACCTGTACCAGCTGATGCTACAGCATTTAAAGAACTCATCCTTAAGATCAAGGTAAGTCATGGCAAGCTCATGCTACAGCATTTAAAAAATTCATCCTTAAGATCAAGGTAAGTCAAGGCGAGCTGATCCAACGCTTACTCCGGTGATATTTAAAGAACTCATTCTTAAGATCAAGGTAAGTCATAGCAAGCTCATCCAATGCTTACTTTGATGATATTTAAAGAACTCATCCTTAAGATCAAGGTAAGTCAAGGCGAGCTGATCCAACGCTTACTCCGGTGACATTTAAAGAACTCATCCTTAAAGGACAAGTCCACTCGAAAAATAACTTACTTTCAATAAAAGCAGAAAAATCAAACAAACCAATCAAAAAAGTTTGAGCAAAATCGGATAACTAATAAGAAAGTTATGAATTGTTGAAAAAGTATGTAAAACTATGGAACAATGAGATTCACAACACAAATTGTCAAGATGGTTATCAGTTTGTGACGTCATGTACTCACAACTTATCAATTGCTTTACATAGTTTAATCCCATTAATTTCCCTTTTTATCCCCCAAAACTTGATTTCCCCATGCCTTTGCCCAGGTTATATGATTTGTATCATATTTCGTGCATGACATTTCCAAAAACTTTCATGAATTTTGAAGAATTGATACTATTTTCTGAATATTGTATTTCATAATTATTGATTTTTATATAAATAGTTTATCAAAATTCATTTTTTCATGAATTAACTGGACAAAAATTACTCTTTATTTGTGCATCCACACAAACACATATTACTAACAATCTAACTTGGATGCTGGTGTGAAGAAATAGGATTCTAACGGTGAAAATAGGAAATTTAAATTATTTATATGCAGAAAATAATTAGTGGTTAGTGAGGACCATACGTCACAGACTCATGAGTGAGTTGCCAATTTGTTTAGTGATTTTCAAGGTTTTTCATGTCATCAAAAATTCATAACTTTCTTATTAGCAATCCGATTTTGCTCAAACATTTTTTGATTGGTTTGTTTGATTTTTCTGGTTCTATTGAAAGTAAGTTATTTTTCGAGTGGACTTGGGCTTTAAGATCAAGGTAAGTCAAGGCGAGCTGATCCAACGCATACTCCGGTGACATTTAAAGAACTCATCCTTAAGATCAAGGTAAGTCAAGGCGAGCTGATCCAATGCATACTCCGGTGACATTTAAAGAACTCATCCTTAAGATCAAGATTAGTCGAGGCGAGCTGATCCAATGCTTACTCCGGTGACATTTAAAGAACTCATCCTTAAGATCAAGGTAAGTCAAGGCGAGCTGATCCAACGCATACTCCGGTGACATTTAAAGAACTCATCCTTAAGATCAAGGTAAGTCGAGGCGAGCTGATCCAACGACTACTCCGGTGACATTTAAAGAACTCATCCTTAAGATCAAGGTAAGTTAAGGCGAGCTCATCCAACGCTTACTCTGGTGACATTTAAAGAACTCATCCTTAAGATCAAGGTAAGTCATAGCAAGCTCATCCAACGCATACTCCGGTGACATTTATTCTAGGCTTTATTTCCCCAAAATATAGGTTTATACCTAAATTCAGTTTAATTTGAATTTAGTTACGATCATTATTACAAGTACCACATACAGAAATCATGTAATACATTGTACATGTACATTGGAATAACAAATGGCCTTAAGTCCCGCAAACAAGACAGGTCCCAAACATACAATTACTTTAGCATCAGTTGGCTTGGCAGTGTGACCAACATACTAGGGTGGGGTTAGGGTTGGTCAAGGTTAGGACCAGATATTGGTTTTGAATTATTGTTAAGGAATTTATTTTTGAAGAGTTGGCATAGGAAATTGACTTTAGGGTTAGGCCATTATCACTGAAGCATGTGTCGTACCATTCGCAGTGAGCCAGAAGAGCAATAGATGTTAGGATTTGATGCCCTTAGCTCTTCCACACACAAAACAATAGCTGTAATATTCCTTCTCTCATAGCTCATATCACATTATGTTATGACCTGTACTTCCAAAGTCTGTATGAAAATAATTACCCTGACTTTGGCTCTAGCAACTGTTATCAGTGCTCATGGCATTTCAATGATACATCCTGCCAGGTACCCACTTATTACTTTGTATCCTCACCTTCTACATTAAAAGTCTGTTGAATAGACAGATAGAAAAATATCTATACTAAATATACAAAATGCCATCTCAATGGTACAGAGGCATGAATTATGATGTGATACTTCTTAAAGGGATTGTGTAACTTTGTCTCAGATTCTGAAACAAATCCTGGATTTATCTCATGCTGCAATCATATTTATAAACCTTTAGGTCAGTCAGGAACCCCATGACTTTTACAAGCTGATCGCCTGTCTGATTATCAAGATATTCATGACTGGAAATCAAAATTTAAAAATTTGTTTTCCTAACGGTTTTTACAACGCTACAGCCTATTGGGGAAAATGAGTACGGAAAAACCTGTCACTCAAAGATTTTTACTTTTTAAGGCACTTCATCATTTTGAAGCGATTTTTGTTAGGGCTTGAATATTACACCATGTCACAGACGCTGATAACACGTAGGGCCATGCATGTCAGATTTGATATTGTTAAACGATGCCTTTAAGAGAATGAAGGCTTAATAAAGACATGCATCATCAAACTGAAGTTGAAGTATAGAATACCAAGCAATAATGGGATTAGTCACCTGTAGTTAATCAGTAAACTCGGTCAAGCCATAAAATGGCATTCAACCATGAAAAACTTGGCACTAAATTGGGGGTAGACATCAGAAGCAAGATTTATAATCAAGTTTTGGAGTTGATGAATCAGAGTTTACATTGTGTGAGCACCATGCCACCTCATCCAATCTCTTATCTCTCTCTCTCTCTCTCTCTCTCTCTCTCTCTCTTTCTCTCTCCCCCTCTATCTTTCTCTCTCTCTCTTCTCTTTCTCTCCCTCTCCCAGCCCCTTTCCCCTCTCTCTCTCTCCTTCTCTCTCTCTTTTTTTTCCTCTCTCTCTTTCTCTCTGGATGGATGGATGAATGGAACAAATAAGTGAGAGTCTAGAGACTGGTTTGAGAAATGGGTTTGCTGTTTTCTATCTGTCAATAATGAACGCATAGCTCACACTCAACTATGTGTGACATGGGATCAGAAGCTTTAAATTGTGATCAATTTAGTCCAGAATTTGCTGTGATTTTATTGTTTTGTATATTCCCTACTGATGACAAACATTTAATTCTAAGTCAAAGGCAGAACCCTTACTCATGTTTGCTCTTTTCTCTGGTTTTGAAGATGTGTCCTAAAGACCAGAAGTTTCCAGCATCTTAACATTGTGGTGTTGATTTAAGCATAACAGAATATCTCATAGTCAGTTCCAAAGAATCTTACTATTTTCATTTTACTTTGATGACTCTACTCTTAATTTCTTCAAGAAACCAATCAAAGTGATATCTAGTATTTGAACGTACATGTATTTCCATCTATTTTCATCTTTTGATCTGTTTTGTGATAATATCCCTCTCAGGAGCGTGAAGAAGACTTACAGCAGAAAGCAGATGAGAAACAGAGGATAGAGGAGAGCGTACAAATCCTACTCTCGGGAGGTTCCATTAGCCAGGAGAGGGGGATCAGCATCAAGAAAGAGACGGAGACTCTCTTTAAATTATGGGAGAAGGTAAGGTGGTGCTAGTGTAAAGGATTACGTACAACTGTTTCAGCGTGTAATGGCTTGTAAAACATGTTTGCTTGCTTGTCAGAGATTTATTAACTCAAAAGAACCTGAAAAGTCCTGATGACTTTTTCTTGTTAGTCCTCCCTCTCTCGCAAAATCCGCAATCCACCCCTGTACAATTAGATAGAACAAGGTTCATGAGGAAATGTGAAATGGGTAAAAATAATTTAGAAGGCTAGGCTTTTGGGGTATTTTGGTATTTTGGTATTGTGGGATTTTGGGATAGTATCATATTTTGATGGCAATGTTGAATCTTTATTTTTGGAATCAGTCAGCTGTGATTGACATGACCTGCAGATTTTAGTCCTGTCTGGCCGACATTAATTGTAGGAAACAAGCATTGTGAAAGTGATTTCGGGTTCCAGGGCATACATGTAGATGGTCGATTATATTGACAGTTACTCATTGCCTTAGATGTGATACAGGCTATACACCAACATTTTGAGAAGAATAGGGTTGTAGATATTTTACAGGTTAATAAAATCACCCCAAACCATGTGACATCTCTCCCTTCTACATGTGTCGTAGGAAACCCCAGTTCCAGGCCCAACAGGAAGAAAATCCAGGGTTACCATGGTTTAAAAGAGCTATGAAATTATATGAGTTTAACAAAACCTACCGTGATTATGTACACCAATTTTTGAGAGAAAAAGTTGTAATCTTGGCCCCGTCTTGCAAAGAGTAGATATCACTCCCAACTATGTACATAAGAGATAGGAGCCTGCAAACTTGCGATTGATTGGAGGACTTGCGATTGATTTGGATCAATCGTAACTCTTTGTAAGATGGGGCCCTGATCTGCAATGTATTTGAAGGTCAAATCTCATTAAACAAAAATATATATGTACCTTGCACAGGTTTCTGGGACAATACCCAAATTCCGAGCACAGCTTGAGGAGAAGCTAGAGAAGACAGAGGCCTTCCTTGAGGAGCTCCAGCAGATGAGAGCGTGGGTTCAAGCCACGATGGATGTCCTTGAGACCCAGGGACCTGTAGGATCAGCCACGTCTAACGATGAACAAGACTCTGTCGTGGTGGATCCAAAGGTAGGAGAAGATGTGGGCATTTCATTTCATTTAATTTCATTTATTTATTTCACTCTCTTTTAAAAAATATCAAAACGATATACATGTTCGTTCATTATCAACATAAGATAAAAGGAAGTAAGGAATCATGTAAGCCAAAATTGGCCTGATGAGAATGATCCCCAAATAAATCCTAAGCATAAACAAGATACAAACTTATTTTATATAAAAACATAGTACATACATTCACAACAACAGAGGACAGAGGAAAGATAAAGATAACAAGGTTAAGATAGTTACAGGAAGACAAGAAGAGAGACAAGATAACAAGAAAGAAGTTACAGCTTACTGTACATTTGTCATACCTACATTACTTGACTATACTGAGTACGACTTATTCATGTAATGAGATGTTTCATTGTTTATTGCTCCTGCACTATTGACCAAATTTAGATTTTGGTTAAATCTAAGGTATTTAATCATTTACTGCCCTTCACGTTACCTGTCATTTTTCCTAACTAAATACTCTCATCTTAGCTGTCAACTTGATAGATTCCTAGTGCTGTAAAAATCCTGTGCCGAAAATTTGATGATGTTGTTTAATAGCATATGGAAGAAAAGACCAGAATAGTCAAGTAATGTAGGTGTGACAAGTGTATAGTAATTCATAGATTTGAATATTGGAATGTGTGAAGCTCAAATGTCATGCCTCAAAGCCAAGAGTCAAAATTAAAGGTTGAACCGTGTATCTAGCACAGAGGTCTAAGAGATTTAGAATAAGAATGGTCAAAGATTTTCCAGTTTTTCTCCGTCTTAAGCCCCTGACATCGGACGTCAATCAGTAAGTTTTTTGTCTTTATGAGTGTAAAAGCTTGTTCTTTGCTTTGTGTTCTTTTTATAAACTCATATGGTATTAAGTGTTTTCAGGATTTATGATGCAGTAAAAGTAAAATTTGTTTGTGCTTCGTACCTATATTGAAGTCCAGAAACAGAATGTTCACAACCATTCATCTCCCATTGACCATTCAGACGATGAACGAGGCCCTCAAGGCCCGGCAGGAGAACATGGACAGCATCAACCGTCTGAACACCCAGCTAACCGCTGAGGCTCAGGCCGCTAGCCGGCAGCTCGCTGATCCTCTTAGGGAAGATGTAGAGAGACTGAATACAGACTGGGAGAGGATACGGTACCTGGCCGCTCATCTCAGACCCAGGTCAGACGTGGAGCTGGAGAGAAAAGTAATCATACAGCAGAGAATAGGTGAGAGGTCTATTGGGGTCAGGGAAGGTCATCGATGGGGGGGGGGGGGATCATCTCAGACCCAGGTCAGACGTGGAGCTGGAGAGAAAAGTAATCATACAGCAGAGAATAGGTGAGAGGTCTATAGGGGTCAGGGAAGGTCATCGATGGGGGGGGGGGGGAGGGATCATCTCAGACCCAGGTCAGACGTGGAGCTGGAGAGAAAAGTAATCATACAGCAGAGAATAGGTGAGAGGTTTATAGGGGTCAGGGAAGGTCATCGATAGGGGGGGGGGGGATCATCTCAGACCAAGGTCAGACGTGGAGCTGGAGAGAAAAGTAATCATACAGCAGAGAATAGGTGAGAGGTCTATAGGGGTCAGGGAAGGTCATCGATGGGGGGGGGGGGATCATCTCAGACCCAGGTCAGACGAGCTGGAGAGAAAAGTAATCATACAGCAGAGAATAGGTGAGAGGTCTATAGGGGTCAGGGGAGGTCATCGATGGGGGGGGGGGATCATCTCAGACCCAGGTCAGACGTGGAGCTGGAGAGAAAAGTAATCATACAGCAGAGAATAGGTGAGAGGTTTATAGGGGTCAGGGGAGGTCATCGATGGGGGGGGGGGGGGATCATCTCAGACCCAGGTCAGACGTGGAGCTGGAGAGAAAAGTAATCATACAGCAGAGAATAGGTGAGAGGTTTATAGGGGTCAGGGGAGGTCATCGATGGGGGGGGGGGGGGATCATCTCAGACCCAGGTCAGACGTGGAGCTGGAGAGAAAAGTAATCATACAGCAGAGAATAGGTGAGAGGTCTATAGGGGTCAGGGGAGGTCATCGATGGGGGGGGGGATCATCTCAGACCCAGGTCAGACGTGGAGCTGGAGAGAAAAGTAATCATACAGCAGAGAATAGGTGAGAGGTCTATAGGGGTCAGGGGAGGTCATCGATAGGGGGGGGGGAGCGGATCATCTCAGACCAAGGTCAGACGTGGAGCTGGAGAGAAAAGTAATCATACAGCAGAGAATAGGTGAGAGGTCTATAGGGGTCAGGGAAGGTCATCGATAGGGGGGGGGGATCATCTCAGACCCAGGTCAGACGTGGAGCTGGAGAGAAAAGTAATCATACAGCAGAGAATAGGTGAGAGGTCTATAGGGGTCAGGGAAGGTCATCGATGGGGGGGGGGGGGGAGGGATCATCTCAGACCCAGGTCAGACGTGGAGCTGGAGAGAAAAGTAATCATACAGCAGAGAATAGGTGAGAGGTTTATAGGGGTCAGGGGAGGTCATCGATAGGGGGGGGGGATCATCTCAGACCCAGGTCAGACGTGGAGCTGGAGAGAAAAGTAATCATACAGCAGAGAATAGGTGAGAGGTTTATAGGGGTCAGGGGAGGTCATCGATGGGGAGGGGGGATCATCTCAGACCCAGGTCAGACGTGGAGCTGGAGAGAAAAGTAATCATACAGCAGAGAATAGGTGAGAGGTTTATAGGGGTCAGGGGAGGTCATCGATGGGGGGGGGGGGGGGGGGATCATCGCAGACCCAGGTCAGACGTGGAGCTGGAGAGAAAAGTAATCATACAGCAGAGAATAGGTGAGAGGTCTATAGGGGTCAGGGGAGGTCATCGATAGGGGGGGGGGGGGAGCGGATCATCTCAGACCCAGGTCAGACGTGGAGCTGGAGAGAAAAGTAATCATACAGCAGAGAATAGGTGAGAGGTCTATAGGGGTCAGGGAAGGTCATCGATGGGGGGGGGGGGGGGGGGAGCGGATCATCTCAGACCCAGGTCAGACGTGGAGCTGGAGAGAAAAGTAATCATACAGCAGAGAATAGGTGAGAGGTTTATAGGGGTCAGGGGAGGTCATCGATGGGGGGGGGGGGGGATCATCTCAGACCCAGGTCAGACGTGGAGCTGGAGAGAAAAGTAATCATACAGCAGAGAATAGGTGAGAGGTCTATAGGGGTCAGGGGAGGTCATCGATGGGGGGGGGGGGGGGGAGGGATCATCTCAGACCCAGGTCAGACGTGGAGCTGGAGAGAAAAGTAATCATACAGCAGAGAATAGGTGAGAGGTCTATAGGGGTCAGGGAAGGTCATCGATGGGGGGGGGGGGGGGATCATCTCAGACCCAGGTCAGACGTGGAGCTGGAGAGAAAAGTAATCATACAGCAGAGAATAGGTGAGAGGTCTACTGGGGTCAGGGAAGGTCATCGATAGGGGGGGGGGGGGGATCATCTCAGACCCAGGTCAGACGTGGAGCTGGAGAGAAAAGTAATCATACAGCAGAAAATAGGTGAGAGGTCTATAGGGGTCAGGGAAGGTCATCAATGGGGGGGGGGGGGGGAGGATCATCTCAGACCCAGGTCAGACGTGGAGCTGGAGAGAAAAGTAATCATACAGCAGAGAATAGGTGAGAGGTCTATAGGGGTCAGGGAAGGTCATCGATGGGGGGGGGGGGGGATCATCTCAGACCCAGGTCAGACGTGGAGCTGGAGAGAAAAGTAATCATACAGCAGAGAATAGGTGAGAGGTCTATAGGGGTCAGGGAAGGTCATCGATGGGGGTGGGGGGGATCATCTCAGACCCAGGTCAGACGTGGAGCTGGAGAGAAAAGTAATCATACAGCAGAGAATAGGTGAGAGGTCTATAGGGGTCAGGGGAGGTCATCGATGGGGGGGGGGGATCATCTCAGACCCAGGTCAGACGTGGAGCTGGAGAGAAAAGTAATCATACAGCAGAGAATAGGTGAGAGGTCTATAGGGGTCAGGGAAGGTCATCGATAGGGGGGGGGGGGGATCATCTCAGACCCAGGTCAGACGTGGAGCTGGAGAGAAAAGTAATCATACAGCAGAGAATAGGTGAGAGGTCTATAGGGGTCAGGGAAGGTCATCGATAGGGGGGGGGGATCATCTCAGACCCAGGTCAGACGTGGAGCTGGAGAGAAAAGTAATCATACAGCAGAGAATAGGTGAGAGGTCTATAGGGGTCAGGGGAGGTCATCGATGGAGGGGGGGGGGGGGATCATCTCAGACCCAGGTCAGACGTGGAGCTGGAGAGAAAAGTAATCATACAGCAGAGAATAGGTGAGAGGTCTATAGGGGTCAGGGAAGGTCATCGATAGGGGTGTGGCCGGCCAGACGTCGAATGTGTCATCAACATAAAATCTGAGCCATAAAGAAGTAGGTAGTGGGGAGGTTTGGAGAGCTGAAATTTCACATTCTTCTTGAAGATGTTGGCTATGATGGTTATACTTGGGAACCATGAATGCACCTTGGAGTTGGTTGAGGAGATCTTCAATCTTCTTGTTGTAGTCTGCTTTATTGAGGATGACAGCGGTGTTAGGAAGTTGTTCATTAGTGAATGAAGCGTATTGGATAGTTCACTAACACAATTCCATGCCTAGAACATCAATTACTTGCACATGTACACTCTAATGATGGACTTCCTCTGAACATCGGTCCTAGGGGTTTAGGGAATTTCTAAAAGTATCTTGGAAATTGGATGATGAGACTTAGTCAGGCAATTAATGATATCAAGTTGCAAATAAATAAATCATGTACCCTCTCCCCATCACCAAAAAAATTGTAGAAGGATGACCCTGCTCAGCTTTTTTAAGATGGAAAGGAGGTTGTTAAAGGGATAGTTGAGTTTTGTTGCAGAGGGCGCTACACAATATAATTTGTTGTGAGATAATGAAAAACTGAGTGTCAAATTTGAAAGAACATACAATTTAAATGACAAAATCATCTTTGTTTGATCAAAATCGGTTCAGAGACGGCTGAAATATCCATAAATACAACAATTTCTAATATTTGTGGTGCCCCACAAATATTCGATAATTTTGAACCTTCATAGTAATTTTAGGTCGTAAAAGAGCACTAGTAATGTCATAAATAAGAATAAGAGCAATAACCATGCACTTTGAAGGCAATTGCGGTTTGAAACAAGGACTCAACTTTCCCTTTAAAGTGAATGACGCTTATAAACTGAGACATTTCAATACTTTGAAGGAAAATCATATTGTATTTAATGAGAACAGGTCGTCTGGGCTATTGCACTTTTATTGATTAATCAAAAGTGATTTTTACATGTACATGTGTGTGTGTCTGTGTCTGTGTCTGTATACTCCATGCAAACACGTATTGGGGCTTCATTGTACTTAACTAGTTGTAGAGTGCTTAGAGACTTCTGACAAATTAAGTGTTAGGCGCTATATAAGCACTGTAATTATTATTATTATTAAATTTTCCTTCTCCTAGGCTTAATGCATGGACCACCTATTCCTCATTGACAGTGGGTTAAAGTAATCCTTTGCTCCGGCCATTCCTTCTCTTTGTGCTGTTGTATGACACTGACCCCAGCTCATCAATACTCAACTATGCCACCGTCTGATTGATATTCTGTAAACTTGGCCTTTCCCTGATTATCAAAGACCCCAACCCTTGTATCAAATTTCCCAGTTTGTACCCACTTACAAATCTCCAAGGCCACGCCAATTCCTAACAAGCAGAGAAAACGAAAAACTTAAAATTGATAACTGATTTCTCTGAATGTTTATTAATAAAGTGATGAAATGTTGAAGGTACAGTAGATTTGGGAAAGATGAGGATTCATTTGGTACTGAATGAGGCCAATAGAATATATATATGTTTAGCATATAATTTCACAATTTTTTTTCTTTGCTGTTGACGATTAACATGTATTGTGAATCTAAAAAATACAAGAAAGTGTCCTGTTTTATATCTTAATAAGATAGTAAAGATGTTAGAGTCTTTCTGAAATTAACTTCAAGTTCAAATTTAGTTTATTACCATGAAAAGAGAAAGACATAATACAAGGCAGTAAGTTCCAAAGAAAATAGTGTCCTGTTCACAATATTATGACCAAAATCACAAAATATACAAATTAATTAGATGACTTTCCTTCAACTACTGTTAGTCTTGTTCCCTGCTGTAACTATAAGACAAAAGCTAACAAATACATGAAAAAACAGAATTCATTCCAACCAAGAGATTGCTGACATCATGTGGTTTAAAACAGACATAGCCAACTGACTTGGATGGTCGCTATGCGGTTGTCATGTGATACCACACTCACAACGTTACTAGGGGCACGTTGCATGATCGCTCCTGCTTCCCCTAACCATCAACTTCCTTGTCTCATAAAAGATCCCAGACGTACTTGAGCTTGGTGATAATTGGGCTATTTTTGAAAGGCAGATGTACTATCACGATTTGCTCAGTCACCAAGTACATTTCCAATGGACTAACTTAATATTTTGGAAATGTTTTTGTCTGTAGGCATATGCTTGAAGTTTGGAACTGAATAGGTATGATCATTCTCTACGGAAGTGATCACCGGATTTGCTGAAATGAGCATACACTTTTCTGACTTCATGCTTCAATATTTTTGGAAATGAATTTGTATGTAGGAGTTTGCAATGACTCTTTGAACTGGATTTGTTTGGAACGGTTGGATGTGTATCATTTTCTACTGAAGGAAATTTTGATGAAACCTCTCGCTTACATCGTATGTTTTCTACGGATATAGCTCACTTCATACTGAATTATTTAATGTAAAATATTCTCCTGTGATGATTTTTGATGTACATGATATGAAGTGTATATTTCTGAAGGTGCAGGTAAATACATGTAGCTACACTGTAGATGCTTCACATTACACAAAGGGTTTCAATAGCTTCTGCTTTATGTGGATGGCTTTAACATGGAGAACCTACATTGAATTGTGATGATCTAAAAAAAACTTCTCTTAATCCCGTACCATGAACATGTAGCTACTTGGAAAACAAAAAGGGATGTCAAGTCACATTATTCGACTAGGGACGTTTTATTGTGCAATCGTGACTTGGCGACATTTATGTCTTGGGTAATATGAGAACTCCTGTTTGGCACATGTACTAATGTTGAATCATGATTGGTTTCAGCAGTGAATGCACAATAAATAAGAGAGGAAAAACAGCCTGTCTGCCTGTCTTCAATCTTTTTATTGATGCACTTGGAGACAACTTTCAATACAGCTTGTGTAGATGCGGGACTTGTTCTTTGGTGAAGAAGGATTATGTTTGATACCTGTAGAGCTTTGTATCCTCAAGAACAGGACAGATCAACACAATACCTTTCAGTTCATTCCTGGATCTCAAATGTATTGATAAAGTGATCAATATCTATCCACAAAGATTTAATCCACCGCTAGCGCTCATCACGTTGTTATTCAAGGAATTCTGTTGATTTGTACTTTCAATATATATCAAAGGCATCTGAAACGAAGATTCAAGAAGACAAAATGCAATTGTATGGAACCATGATGGTGACTGTAAATCTACTCTACTAGACTGTTTCTTTCTCAAGCTGTTTTGTTGATTTGTACCTTCAAAATACTTGAAAAATGGCAAGGTCGATCATTCTTAGTCAAGCTGTGAGAGGAGACAGGTTGATAGTACCAAATGACCTTAATCCATCTCTAATAGTCATCTGAATATTCATCAAGAACTTCAAATTATCAAAGAGTCTGAAGGGTTAACAACTCTCCTTCTTACCAGAAGATCATATTCAACAGCACATGCAACAATCTTTAATATTACCTAGCTGACACAGTGCTTTCTACTGCCACATACCTCGTCTGGTCAGCAACCAACATTTGTTAGCCACTTTAATTTACTGAGCCTGCGTCTGCAGCACTACGTATCCAGAACCATCTTACTCTCCAAGACTATCATGCTTTCCTCCATGGGTGCTCTTCAATGTGTTTCCCTCTTTGTCTTCCCAACAGTTATCAGCGAGCCGGTGGACGCTGTCACTGCCGAGGTTCAGAAACTACCGGTTCCTCCACCAGCGATCAATGCTAACCGTCGTGACTCCTCACCATGGCCTGACGTTGACAAGGTCGTGGCGGAGCTTCGTGATTGGCTCATGCTCCTGGAGAGGATGCTGAGGTTGCAGGTCGTGACTGTTGGAGACCTGGAAGAAATTGAGAACATGATCATGAAACAAAAGGTTAGTTGATTTCGCCATTAATATCCACTCTAACTCTCCTTTTTTCATGTATTCATTAAGCAGAGGTTTATTAGTTGAACATATATTATGATACATTAAATTTCATGTGAACGTACATATACACACATATGCAGTTTGTTCATGTATGTGTTTGACTGCAGTGCGAGTTGATATGTTATATATCTTTGTTGTGCTGTGGAATTGTCTCACTCTCCCCTCAGCTTCCAAACAGTCATTACTTTTTAGGATAATGCCCTTTTCCCTCTTTTTTCAGCCATTATAAGTTTTTAGAATTTGTAATGAATCTATACTTGTATAATTAAAGGAAATGCCATTCTGATATTATCTAGTTTTTTAATCAAAGCAGAAATATGAGAGAAACAAATTAGTAAAAGGTTGAACAATATCTAATTAAAAATAGGAAAGTTATGATTTTTTCAAAGTTGACATCAGTGAAACACAAATTGGCGACACTTGTGACGTATCTTGAGGTCTTCTGTCCAGTTTACTCTGTATGGGTGTATTGAGTAGACCACTCAATACACCCGTACGTGCTCACTTATTATTATTATTATTTATTCGGCAAAACAAAGTGTATACATAGAAGAACAAATCATACAAAACAAAGGATGAAAATCATTTTTTTAAAACGTTATTGTGATTCCCATGAGCATTTACAAGTTGCCGAGAATGGGGCATGCAAACTAAATCACTGAAACCATGAAGGACCCAAGTCCGATTCTGGTTTTATATCATCCTTATCATGCTTATCCGTTACCCAATAGAAAGCGCGATGTAGTTTTTGAGGTTATTTTTATACATTCTAGCTGTACATAAATGACTTTTTATAGGTGATTGGTATGCTTTGAAAGTTGTATATGTACCACTAACACCCTCCGTCCTCCTCCTCCCCAAACCCCATTCATTGTGTTCATATCCATATTAACCAGTTTTAATACTTTGTCTTGGACTATATTTGCCCATGTATCCTGCAGTGCAGTGGCATAAGATGCAGGCAGGTTTGCATCTCTTCTTATTTTCTTATCTCCTTTTATGCTTATAAAGTTACCAGTATATCAACAACAAAAATTTTTTGATTGAATATTTGACTCCTGTTCTTGTATGCCTAGTTATACTACAACACTAAAAATACTACTACATGTAACTTTGAAAATAAGTTAGTAATTCATTACTTTTTTAATTTTAAGGCAATGTTTTATGTTCCTATTCTGGTTGTTTGTGACCATGCTTTTGGAAGCAGAACAGCATTAAAGTGGGGTAATATATAAGCTGTAAGATGATTTCCTCTTTTGAAAATGAATTGTTACTATCCTAATTAAAGAGCAGTGATAATAAGAATATTATTTGATAGTTATTGTATTTTTATATATGTCAACACTGGGCAAGATCAATTTTACAGAGGAAGACCGCTTTTCTTTCATCTATTTCAATTTTTTCCAAAGAAACAATTGCACGTTTTCTTTTTACAACCTTCTGTATCTCTAGGATATTTGGTCTACTGTCTTGCCTACATTCTATTCGCTGGATTCTAATGATCGGCAGCTCATTGGAGGGCTGGTCGTAGATATAGTGAGCATGCTAATTGAACTCGAGGTCAGTTCAAAGCTCGAAGGTTATCCTTTGAATAAAACTTTTTGGCTTATTTCATTAGGTACATGTAGCTTGCACCTTACAATGCTTTTTAACTACTTTTATCTACTTTTATCACCTTTTTTTTTTAAATGTCACTAAAATTCCAAATTTTTCCTGAATTTACTTAAAAAATTATTAATGCCTAAATGAATATTCATCACCTGGAAATTGCTGCCAATTTCATGATCATTATTTAAGTTTCAGTTTTGATAATTATGCATATATTGGTAACATTGGGCTACTCATGCTAACCATTATCATTTGGAATCTCCATGTTATATTGCTTCCTGGAAGCGGGATTTAATATTCCATAGATGCACCCAACAGCTAAGGGTATATTTTTGTCCAAATGAAGTATAGATTAATAAAACTAACCAATATCATAAGCAAAAGACAAAGCTTAGAATGATCGTTGAAGTATAGCATTAATCCTACCAACTATTAGGCATCCAACATTCATTTTGTAGCATATGATATGCCTTGTATTAAGGGAGGACAAATTGAGGTGAGACAAATGTGGAGTAAACAAATATGCCACACCCTTCCCACAGTAGATTTAAAAGTACACCTGTATTTCTTATTAGTCTGATCATTGCTATAGTATTTTGGTGATGGTTTTATGTATTAAAATCAAAGGAATAATCTTTCATTTTGAAAAGGGTCATAAATTGATGCACTAGCTCTTTCCATTTTTTGCAAATGCACACCTACATGTAGTTGTATATACACTTTTCTTTATGCACTACGCAATAGATAATGTTATTTTTAACACCAAGTATGTATAGGGTAGAACAACTAGACTACTGTTTGTAGATGAACCACATTATCTTTTCAGAGGAAGTTGTGTCAATAACATGTTGTTCACAGCACAGGTTATATTCACATTTTGATTTGTATGTTTGTCTGTTCTTGTCTGTTGTTTGTCTTTGTGTATCATCCATTTCACTCCGATGCCCTCCTTGTTGTCATTCAGGGGGCCGTTTCTCGAAACCGTCATAACTACAAGATCAACGACATCTCGCCACTGTCACGCAACTTGTCAGCTAAGTGTTTCACAAAGCCGTCTTTACCAAGATGAGCGACAACTTCCGCGACAAGCGAGTTGTCACTGCTCCGAACCTGTCATATCTTTTTAATTGCTGTAAAGCGCCATCACAAGTCAGTTTGTTGCTGTTCGATGGGCCGCGAAATGTACGATTAGTTTCACTATCATTTTGAGAAAAATATAGACGAGTTCGGTACGTAATTCTCTGGGATGCGAAATGCAAATGTACAGAAGTGATAATACAAATTATACAGAAATTTTAAAAAGCTGAATATAAACATTAAATCACAAATCATTAAACTATAACATATAAATAAAAGAGATAAGAATGTTAAACACCGTTGTCCATAGTCAATCCATAGTCTTTCTTAGGATACCATTGTACCTTTGGGGCCTATGTGCATTATTATTCCCTCTCTAATTACTTCTTTCAAATTATATTTTCAATATCAAATCAATTATATAACGAGTATTTATGAGACTCTAGAATAAAAACTGGCTGAGAAAAGACACTTTGCCTAAAATTCCTCGTCACAATAAACAAAAAAGTATGTATTGATAAACTATCACATTACGGTATCCTTCAACTAACTTTGGATTTGACTGTCGAAAAAAAACACTCGCCGGTTTTTCTTCAATTTAAGAATCTTTACAGAAATATGCAAATCGTTTGATGATGTAAATATGATAATGACACTATTTATTATTTATTTTAGGAGAATTTATATGTATATATTTCTTTTTGAACAATTTTAGCCCCAAAACTTGTTTTGGGTTATTCTTGATAAATCAAATGGATCGTGACAAAGACTATGTTCTTGAGCTGCTAGTATCGCGAAATATCGATATCATGTCTGTCATGGCTTTGTGAAACGGTTTATCCGCTTCATGACATCTCCGTAGGTCGCCGACAAAGATATGACTGTCATGGAGTTGGTTTCGAGAAACGGCCCCCAGGCTTCCAAAGCAATTGTTTACATGTATTCCCATGGTTAATGATCAGAGAGTTGATATAATTCTCAACTCAGGAGCTTACATGGAAATGTTTGTAGCCATTTTCCTGCATTTCTTTGCATTTCCATATGAAAGAAGTTCTTTCAAATTGCCATTGTAAAAATGACTAATCTCAGTAGTGCAGGTTATAGCTATGATCATACTGTCTGTTTGCAGCCAGGCCAGAAGGGTATTATTAAACTCTACATGTATATAAAATGATATGAAAGTAATGCGGCAAATGCCCTTCTTGCTCCAAACAGATTAGAAGTCCAATATCATATACCATGGACCAGGCGTGTACGCAAGGGGAAGGGGGGGGGGGGTAGGGGGTAGGGGGTAGGGGGTTGAACCCCCCCTCCCCCCCCCCCCCCCCCCCCCCTCAATTTAAAAAAAAAAAAAAATTTAATTAAAAAAATGGGTGACCAAAAAAAGGTGACCTTACCCCTCCCCCCAACGGGACGAAATATCGATCGGTAAAATTTTTGGGACAAAAAAAATCCTGCGTACGCGCCTGCCATGGACTGCACACTCTAAAAACCAATGTACTCAAGATTGACAGCTTTTCTCAAATGTTGTATACTGTAGACATCATTTGACATTGCTGGATCCAACACGTTATTAAATGTTACATCTACCTCTTTGGAAATGCTGTCATTTTCGTACTTTAATTTTAAGTTTGTAGAGCGCAGTCAGCTCCTTCAAACTTGCCTTGCACCATTGAAATTTCATACTGAATGTTGTATTTATGATGTGGATACATTTTGAAAAAGGAATTTGTAATTATTCTAAGAACATGGTTTGTTTTCTTGTGTAGTATTATGCATTACAAAATCTTTATGCATGTTGGAGTTGTGTTTGCAGAATGTAGAATCTTACAATATATACAATCAAATTAGATTGGCACACCAATAAATACAGGATTTCTTGAGCAATTTTAGCAATGTTACAACCATGCCAACCATGCCAGTAGCTATTTAAAATTATTCATTTATTTTGGGCATTATAATTTCTTTATTCTTGATTAGCATGAAACAGTTCTGATACAATTTTTTTTTTGTGAAACCATACTAAAAGTTTAATTGGATATCACAGATGTCCATGTGGTATATTTCATTAGAAATGAAAGGTTGCTGGTAGTTTAGACACAAATTGTGATTATTCTTCAGTTGCTTCCAGTTATCCTTTTTTATAAATTTGTTCATGGCCACCATTACACATGTACATGCATCATGTGATATTTCACTCAGGCTTTCAGTTGCAGTATTGTTAAGCATATATATTTAAGATGATTTAAAAGGTGCAATTACATGTATGTTATTCTCTATTTGTATGAAATGTTGCAAATTGTAAAGTGATATCATGTTTAGGAGAATCCGGTCCATAATTTTATTATTCTGATGTGCAGGGGGAAATGGTTGGTTTACAATCAAATCTACAATATCTATCAATCCTTGAAATGTTCTTTTTACAAATGTCTTTGATTGATCAATATTGCATTTAGGGCAATATGAATTGAATGTGATGATGTGTTGTGATGCACTCAATATCAGCCTTTTCTTCTTTCATTCATACCCTATTGATCCATAGACCTAACCCAATCAGTCTCAAAGATGATATGCAGTTTCCTATCATTTTAATAAAAGATACCTCTGTAGTATTCATGCTCTATCAGGTATCAAACCACATTGCCACTATGACCTTGTCACCTGTTACTTCATTTCATATTCATTATGCTATTGATTTAAGGAGTGTTTTTGTCTCTTTTTCTCTTTTAAAGGGATATACTAGTGTTAACATTCCTCTAGGGTACGCCAGTCATGTATGAAGATGCCATTGATAAAATGAACTGAAGTGAATGGTACATTATATTCTATTCTCCCACCTTTTCACAGTTGTTACTTTTGAAGACCGCTGTATGTATATTATCTTTTGTACTACAGTTGTCAGAACACAAATTGCTTAAATAAGTTGGTGCTATTCTTGGGTGAAGGTTTCACATAATGAACATAGATATAACTGCTATATTTTAGTATTTTAAGTAAACGAGTAACAATTATTTCCATCTAAGTTATTATTCATTAAATATAATTTTTACCTTCTCAGCTTTGATTTTTCCTCATTGAAAAATAGAGCTTTTGTTACTGACTTTAAAAAGTATTTCCAACTAAAGCTTGGTGCATGATACATATACAAGTTTGACCTGTACGTCACATTATCATGAAAATGGCTGTGCCCATATCATGCTGAAAGGCATCACATCATGCCAAGAATATCTTCATTAATATATCTCACGTTCACTTTCGTAAAGAATAATGTACATCAAAAGGCATAAATACATCTAATCTTTCCGCATACTTACGCTTATATTTTGGTATTAAGTTGTTTTTTTAAATCAGTAAACATGTAATTAGATAATCTTAACCCATTTGGATAGTGTATTAGCATCAAGAATCAAGATGTATTATTACTCTGTGTATGAGAATTTATCAAGAATATTTGTAATAATAAAAAAAAGGTACTTATAAAGTGCTTACCATCGCAGTCTCTAAGCGCTCAGTCATCGATAGTATGCCAATTGAAGTGATGGTGCACACTGTGCGTGAATGAATCAGATGACCGGGGTAATTATATCTGTAAAGCGCTTAGAGATGGTATTCCATACTAATTAGCGCTATACATGTATAAACCCAGATTATTAATATTTCTCTGCAAACGTTATTTTGTGTGTGAGTTTTATTTATAACAATGCCTCTTTTAAAACAAGCATTGTTTAACTTTTGATACAATGACTCATTACCAAGTTACTTAACATGCTAGTGTACAAATGGTATGAGAAAAATGTCCTTCTGGTTTTCAGCAAACATGACATTACAAATGCTTTCAGCTTAAAATATTCAAGTTAATTGAAAATACCCAGCTACAAATATATTTGTGATGAAAATTAATCTATTTCATTTTGACCATAGGAGCAAGCTTATATTGTATTTTTCCCTTTTATTTGAAACATCAATTTATTGTCACATCAGCATTGCTAAACGGCCATATTCTAAAACCAGTGTTAGCTTCTATGTAAGGAAACCAGTGATATGTATTGTATGTATTGTATTTATTTAACTTCATTAATGTACATCAATAATCTGTTTATCAACATATAAATCATATAAATCAATTTATGATACAATGTAACATATCAATATTCTGTTTGTAAACATATAAATCAATTTACAATGCAGTGTATATAGCAATAAGAACGAAAATTATATACTGCAGAAAAACTCTTCTTTTTTTCTTTTTGTAATAACATGACACATAATGCATAAAGTAAATAATATATTGTACCATAATACATCCGAGGATTAAGATATGTAATTAGATTTGTCATAATTGATATTTGGTATGAAACTCACTCTCACTGACATGAATAGATGATGTAGTTTTCAGAATACCACCCAATGTATATTCATACAGATTGCAGATTGCATTGTGAGTAACCTTTATCACTTAGGTCCGTTTCATGGTCTTTCATGGATCATATTTGAACCAGTCCAAGATTACTTTAACAAGGACTGGTAAATGTTTGTGCAACCAGTGAAAAGTGTGAAGTATTTATTATAGTTTGTATTGTAACACTGATTTTGTTTTACAGCTTTAATTATATTTACTGTACTTTATTCATTAGGTGACGGTCATTAATGTAATGCACCCTTGCACATACACCTCATTATTAATTCTACTCACATTTATCCCCCTAGGTCCTTGGTTTGTATGTAACACCTGAGATTTAAAAAAAAAGGTGTATTTAATGCCTAGACTTTTCGTTGAAGAAAGAGTGTAATAATGCTGTGTAGATGATTGTCACTCAATGCATTCACATTGTTACCTTCGACTGTAGAAAAGTTTGCTCAATGCATTCACATTGTTGCCTTCAACTGTAGAAAAGTTTGCACAAGTTTCTAGAAATAGTGTACACAATGAAAGCATTTGATTTTGTTTGCAGTAAATATTCAAATAAAGAGCCACTTGCCAAAAAGAGATTGAATTAAAGCACAACAAATGTTAGAAAAGTATGAGAGCTTCCTAATTTTGAGCAAAGTTAATATTTTACAGCACAAATTACAACAGTTGTTATCCTTCTTTTTCTTCAACATCATTTTTGGTTGTCTT